CGGCATACAGAGCGATCGGTAATGACATCAAATACCGCGAAAGTGAGTGACGGAGCCGTCGTTCCCGCTCTAGTTTGATGTTATTCACCGGTCGCTCTGTGCAGCGCCGGTCCAAGTTGAACAAGCTTATGTCGTGCGAAAAGAAAACAAACGTGACATACGGGCACGAGGCTACATTGCGCATGCGTCGAACCGTGAGACGCACACACGCTCCGAACCGAGACGAGCGAACCGAACGGTTCGGGTGTTTTTTCATGTACCGTGCCACCCCTATTAGTTACGTATATATTCTTTTGTTGTATAATTTATCGCACAAACTTTTAGTCTGTATTTTTTCCAGTAAAAATAAAAAAAATCAAGAAAACATAAATAAATACAGTATATATAATAAATACTTAAATTAAAATAGTTTTCACTGTGTTTTACCAATACAACCTTAAGGGGAAAAAAAAGGTTATGACACCAAACCTCAGATCACAATTCACAAAAACCTCAGATCACAAAAACTACTAGCAAGACTAAAGACAAGTAAGCATTCAGTGATAAAATAATAACAAATAATCATCTTATGAGCAATAGTACAAATAAAGACAATTTTTTTCACATAGGTCTAACAGTAGTTTTCAGGTACAGAAATTGAATGAAGTAATCAAATGTAAAATAACTACTGTATAGTCTTCACTGTATAAATTAAATATATACTAACACTTATTAAGGTGGCAAAAGGTATTCAATCAAGAGCAGTGAGTGATTTTTTCCCATGCTGTTGTCACTTTAAGACCTAATGCATGGATCCAATATAGTGTTACACGTGTTTTATTTCTCAACTGTTTAGGTTCACTTAAGACAAAACCGACTGTGTTCAAGAGTATATTCGCCATTCCCTTTTTGGACTTTTTTTCTTTGATTTCTTTCTTCCATTCAAGCGCAAGATGATATGTGCTTATTTAAAACTAATTGTATTCCTTATTATTTATTTATATTTTTATATTGTATTCTTTATTGCATTAAATACATTTTAGTCAGTATTTTATTCTTGTTTTTCAGAAAAACAATAATTATATTTTATATAATACTTACTATGTGAATTTATTGTATAATATATTCACATAGTAAAAATAAGCAAATTCATTTTGACATTTTTTTTTTACCTTACATAAATGTTATATTTAAATATAAGAAGAAGAAAAATCTTATTTTAATATAGAATACAACATAAATAATAATACAAATTAATTTAGTCTAAATTATCTTAGTCTCGATGTCTCAGTATATGTGCATTTTATGTATCATTTTAATTTGTGCAATTTTGCTTCTCAGGTAAGAGGATGTTTTTTTGATTGGTTATTTGTCTGTTCCTCACCCTTGCTCTGTGGCCTGTGCACATTCCTGACAGGGTCCGGATAGCAGCCAGAATCATGTCAGGATTTCCTGTGTCAATCAGCTGCACAAGTAAAGCCACACCGTTTTCCTTGAATATTCTCTCTGCTCCTGCGTCCTCTCTGGCCAGGACAATCAGGTTGTTGGCAGCCTAGTGGACCCAACAAACATGTTGTTCAGTTTAACTGAGAGATATTTTACTGCAAATTATTCATTTCCTTTTGCTTCACTGTTTTTAAGCTAAAAGGGAACAGAGTTCTTGGAAACTGCTCAAACCTTTTCTCTCTTTTCCTTATCTGATTCATCTGAAAATAGGATGTCAAACATGTTCTGCACTCTGGAGTCAGTTGAGAAGGTCGTTTTCAGCTGTGGGGAACATCAGATATGCTCCTTAGAAACTCAGATGTTTTGTTACGTGAACTCAAAAGCATTTTGACAGAAGCGATCCTCACCTTCTTCTGGATCTCAGCTCCGAGTCTTCTGAGGGTCTCGAGGAAGGTCTTGTTTTTAGGCTCAATGGTTGCACATCTCTGAACGTCCTTAAAGGCCATGTCCAGTTTGCCAAGCTTCTCGAATGCTTGGCATCTTCTGTACAGAGCCTTGATGTCCGCAGCATCCACATCGATCGCTGCAAATGACAGATCAGCATTCATCAGTCATTTTTTAGTAGGACCAAGAGAAACGTGTTTAAGATGTTTGATGGTATACTTGAAAAATCTGAGCTGAAATAAATGATGAGGAATAATTAATTTGCAAATCATACCTTTAGTGGCGTCTGATGCTGCATTGTTATAATTTTCCTGGAAACCAAGACATCAAATGAAAATCATGCAGAAATATTTGATTTCAAGTCATGTCGGAAAGATCGCATTTATGAGTTGAATGCCACCAAAAAGTTGTGATTTTATTTTAATCCCGTTCTTTATGAGTTGGGTGCGTAACATGGTGGAATACCATGCACAATACTTATAGGTAGCCTATTTAACAGTCAGGCTTTTTATTTACAACAAAATAAGCTAATATAACAATATGATATGCAATTATAGCGTTGATACAGTGGCTTCCTAAATAAATATTAAAAAAACACCTGTAGCACATTCTTCGGAAAACAAATGAAGATATTTTTGATTAAATCAGAGAGCTTTTAGCTTTCAACTGACACTTTGACACATCGAAACAATCGTAAAACTATATGAATTTAATGGTTTGGTCCAAATTTTCTGAAGAGACTTCAGAAAATTCAATCACTTTAAATGATGAACAGATTTAAATTAGTCAAGCCTGAGGTGATAACAAAATTTCCTAAATCGAAAATACAAACTTCCCATAAATGCACTACTAGGCTCATAATATGTACAGGATGTAAACTCTTACCTTTTTCAGGAAACAGGCTGATCTGTTTCTGTAGATGATCGCGAGCATTTTCTTGTCTTTGCAGACCTTTATGGCTTTAGTGTAGCACTCAATGGCTTTGTCGATTTCTCCAGCCTGGAAGTGCTTGTTACCCTCATCCTTTAACTGGACTTGATCTTCAATTTCTCCCATCTATCAGAGAATGTTACAATTTAGTAAGTTGGATAGTGTTACATTTGATCATTTCAGACAAAATACTTAGCAGCATTAGTCTTTTTATGCAATTATTAATATTTTTTATGATATATATATATATATATATTGTATATATTTTCAAATATATAAAAAAAATATGTACACATTAATTATGTTGTGTATCAGATTTCTTTGTTTAGAGGAGATTTCAGCATGTGAAAAAACACATTTTGAGAAAAAAAAACGTATAGATATGTATTGTAATTCAAATCTACAGACACACATTTAAATAGATAAAGTGCAACAGACAATAAATAAAAACTAACACTTTCCACTAGTCTGAAAACACACATGAAAAGGCATATTGACCAGTGCATAAAAAAAACAATGTTTTTTGCCTTCAGTGCCTTGTCTTAATTACAAACCTTTAATTCAAACACATTGCTTGTAACATTTAAATTTCGCACATCAAAACATGTTCAAACTTTTTCCAATTTTCTCAAGCAAGTGGTCAAGCACATGTTATCTGACTTCAACTGTCTGACCCTCAAGCCTTATTTGGGCAACAGTGTGGCCTCAACAATACTGAACGCAGTGAATGTCTGTCAACTTATGTTTTCTATAAATTAGACATATTTCCTATTCTGTCTCCTATGACTACATATTAATAATGCTATAGTTACGTACCGTCATTGAAGTGAATTCTGCTTCGTCCTGAGAGGAAAATCTGTTCTGTGTCAAAGTGTAGTTCCTTTGCTTTTGGGTTTATCAGTTGTAACGCCCCCCCAACGGTCTCTTATATATCTATTTGTTGCACATGGGGGGCACATACCAGGATAACGGATGGATCCATTTCATTGTGAGGGGTGGACCGATCTTCATCAACCCCACCTGGTGATACAAATGCATTATGCATCTTATCAGTCACAACCTGAGATTACATCGTTTAAGATTTTCCCTATTCCACATCATGCTGTCATTTACTCCTGTTGTGGTGGATTCATTTTAATTTGCAGATATGTGGTCACCCCTATCATCAGTGAAGTGGCCTGTCTCTGATATGGTCTATTTGGGGAGAGGGTATGACAGCTGAGAAATCAGTAGCAAATGTCCAGAGCCACCTCATGGGAGGGGGAGGACAGTGGTGTCTCAGAGCAGCTGGTGTGCTGGAGCTCTGACTGGTACTTTCTAGAATGGAAGGACTCTTCCAACAGAAAGAACTGGAGGAAGGTGTTACTCTCATAGCAAAACATCCTGCAACCTGGCGAGCAACACTATTGTGGGATGTATTTACAGTATAGGGTCAGGATGTGCCCTCTGTAAACGTGCTGACTGGCAACTTCTTAACAAATATTATAGGTTTTAATTAATATAAGATTGATTAAACCAACAAATTATGAGATTTTTTTTTTAAATATATATTTAAAGGAGTAGTTCACTATTAAAAAAAACTTTTGCTGATAATTTACTCACCCCCATGTCATCCAAGATGTCCATGTCTTTCTTTCTTCAGTCAAAAAGAAATTATGGTTTTTGGTGAAAACATTCCAGGATTTTTCTCCTTATAATGGACTTCAATGGGAACCAAACGGTTCAAAATAACAAAGTTTAAGTTTTATATTATATTTATATTAAGTTCTGTATTTAGGTGTCAATAGATTTCTCTAATGCATAAGCTTGATCAGAGTTCATAATTGTGTAGCAGGTCTTCAGCAGTGATGTCAGCGTGTCGGCCTTAGAAAAACACTTAACCCAGAGTACGGACTGTGGAGCAAAACTTTAGACAAGCTAATTTACATACAAAGGAGATCACAGGGACATCCTGAGGGAAACACAGCATCACCGGAAGAACTTTCCCACCAACAATGAATGTGTTTTATGATATATACAAAATACATCAGGCTATTAATGTTTGAAACACATAATCTTTCTTGTTATTATTGACCCATGAAAATTCAATTAAGTTTGTTATCCAACATCCAACACTGTAAATCGACCAAGTTAAAATGGTTATCAGCACGTCCTGATAATCTCAATATTGGTCAACATGAAATTCAGACCAAAACACAATGTTAATTTATAATAATGATTTAATAAATTATGGCCTTAAAACAAACATAGGTGCAATAATAATATTCAAAAGACAGTTCTGACATGGCATTTAAAATCAGAAGCGCACTAGCATAACATCAAGCAATCGTTTGGACGCCTCTAAAAGGAGAGAATGTATCTCCAGAGAGAATGTATATGAGTGTATGAAACTCACCCAATCCCCACATGAAAGATTGACTCCTAATCTGCATTTAAGCACATAAAAACACCCTGGCATCTGGATAGATGTAAATGATACACTGCTGATGCGAGTCCCACTCTTGATTATCAGGAGCTTGTGTACCAGCATAAATCTGAGAATGACTGAAGTTACACTCCTACATTTACAGTACGTCACACATCTGTGCTCATAAGAGATGTCTGAGAACTAAAGTCACACTTCCATTGTTTCCTAGAAACTGTGTGTTTCCTTGGAAATAAAACAGCAGGATTATTGCTCCAGTGAGGAGAACTACCATAACACACACTTGTATAATGTATGAAAAATTGCACATTTAAAAATATCTGAACAGCTCTGTTAGCTAGAGTTGAATCGCCAAGCATTGCATCTAGACACTAAAGACTAGAAGGTAAAGAGGATAGCCGTTAGAAACCATCTTTGCATATCAGAGGAGTGTATTTATTGCATGTCTATGCATGTCACGTCTATCTTCAGTCTCTGTCTTTGCTGCCTTTAATGTAAAAATCTGTGGAGTTCTTTGAGTCTGCCTTTGGTTGCGTGTCCATCTTACAGCCACAGTCCATTCAAACAGTCCAAGGAGATGTACAAATGTCTTTTTGTAGTTGTTGTATTGGCAAAGTCAGCACGATGACTTCTTTTATTTGTTTGGCAGCAGGGGGCGCTCTTGGCACAAGAGGATCCAGAGGTGATGGGGAGGGGAGAGATGAAGAAACCTCTCATTTTGCTCCTCACTGGAAAGATGATCAACAACATGATCAAAGTTTATAACAGTAACAAGTTATTGGTGGCAGTATAACTTTCAAAAAAATAAAATAAATAATATATATATATATATATATATATATATAATCTTTCTAAAAAAAGATAATGTTGTAGATAATGATAATGATAAATCATTATAATAAATCTGATATTTATACATTTATTTCAACTATTGTAATCATTTATATAGATATTTATAAATATCATCCATTTCTGATTTTTTTAATTCATATTAAAAAAGTTATTATTTGTTAATTTACCGTATTATTATTATTAAAAAATACTGGAAAGATGATCAACAACATGATAAAAGTTTATAGCAGTTATTATATATTTTTTTATATTCTAATATATTTTTTAAGTTGTTAAATATTAATAAAAATAACATAATTTTAATAATTAATTTGATATTTATAAATTTATAATATAAGAATTAAATGTAATATTTAAATGATTATTTATAAATATCATTACATTTAAATGTATATAATAATATTTATTATATAATATTTGTTTATTTAGTATTACTATTTACAAACTCACTGGAAATAATCTAAAATTCATTATATATTTAAAATACATTTTTTTTGAATAGAGACAAAAACGTTTTAAATATAATATAAATAATTATAATAATCAATTTTTTATCTATTTTTAGAAGATAATATAATAATTGCACACACACACGTTTCAATTAACATATTATAATCATTTAAACCATTTATAAATATCAGATTAATTTCTAAAAGTTATCATTTATATTGTAAAAATATCATTTGTTTAATTTTTTTTATTACAATTTATAATATTGACTGACTAACCTTATCCCTTACCTTATAACAACTTTCAGAATTGAGTAAGTACATATTAGTAAGGAAAAGGTTGGTGACAAATCAGAATCAACTATCTAGACAACATTTTATACAGTATTATGCAATAATAGATATTTTAATATAATTTTTGACAATATCAATGCAGATCTAAAGGAACTTAAGCAGAGTAGATGCCATATTTTATTCGATGTGAGTGAAAACAAGGCTGTGAGGGATAAAGTACAGTGAATTCTACTGTATTGATAATTAAGTTGATGAAACACTGCAAATATGTCTTTTCAAAAAACATAGGACATTACAACCTATTGAACATACTGTACTTCTGTTCCTCGCAACTTGATTTTCAATATGACCCTGATAAAGGTCCATAGATCCCTCGAGAACTCACAAAATAGACATCCAGCACTGAGTCGTCATCTCTATCTATGTCCATGGTGCTTTGCTCAGACGTCAGACAGATGGCGCTGTCCTCCAATGTAAAAGTCGAGCAGGCACATCTGAAAGGAAACAACAGCAATGAATCAGAAGAACAGTACGAAGAAGCTCAAGGACAAATTAAGAGTCCTTAAAACATGACAGATGAATATTGAGCAAAGCTGGTGGTCTCATAAATGCCAAAACTCTGTTCGCGCTGATCTGAGGGAATGCGTGTGGCCGCCCGTGCGTCAAGACACGAAAGCATTTCAGCAGCAATATTTCTCATCATTACAATGACACATTTCATATGAGCGCTGGCCATCTACATCCACTTCGGAATGTGCTTATGTTTTTATTGCCTGCAATAATCTCTTGAGTTATTGATGCCATGGCAACCAGACCCTTGTTGAACGTAAAGCACTCTGCGCATGTGACACATTTCAGGGTGTTCATTAACACAGACTCACCCTGGACTTCATCAAACGTTTTCCAAGTCAAAGGTCACTAAGACTTTTTGGGAATTTATCCAATACTTTTATTCAGCATGCAAGGACCACTATTTAATGTATTGTATTGATGAAGTCAACGAGATAACATCTGACAAAGCTCTTTAACTCAGTAATCATTGTTCAAGCACCGAAGGCCCCCTTCTGTGGTATTCTGTCATAAAACAATACCTCTATTATATTCGTCCCTAGCAAGCAGGTGAAATATTTATGAGGCCTTTTCACAAGAATTCCACTTAAAACAGGTGTGTGTCAAAGGTGAGGAGATCAGGGAAAACCCAAACACAAAGAATCGAGCAGAAGAACAAGTGTAGCGTGGTCAGGTGCTCACGCCAGCTGTAGCGGGATCAAAGAAATCCATCTTGAAGTGTTAAATTGTGGCATTATTTGACTATATTCAGTGAGACTTAGTTAAAGGGACAGTTCACACAAAAATGTAACTTTTGTCATCATTTACTCATTCCTAACCCTCTTGAAAGTGATTTTGAAGTATTTGTTGCTCTTTCCCATGCAATTACAACAATAATAAGGTTTTTAGGCTTCAAAAAGGACTCAAAAGCACCATCATAGTAGTCTACATACAACTTGAAATAAATCAAAAGACAAAAAAAAATCATAATATCAAGCTCATTTACGGAAGATTGTTGTACAGACGTTGTTTCTGCCACAAAATAAATGGGTTCATATCTCACATCTACTGATTTTTTACAGACTGTTATGATGTGTTGCCAAAGCTAATCAATTTTTTCATATTTAAATTTTGTTAAAATTTTTATTACACATTTCTATAGCAACGCTATATATAGTGCTATATAACCTTTACTGACATAAAACATATTAACGCTTCTGCAAGGATGTTTCTAATAATGACATGGCAGAGTGAGTGACAGCGAATTTGACATCTTTCTCTCTTCTGACCAATGTCTCAATCTCTCTATTTTTTTCCCTCTTTTGAAAAGTCATTGAAACGCTATCACAGATTTTTTTTTTTCATTTGCTATTGGAGCAAAATGGAAATATAAAAATGACATTTGCTGTCGTCTCCGCTATAGAAGTTTTCCCAACTATGACGACTTCCGCTTCTTAAAACCCCAGAAATGTGAAAAGAGTCAAGAATACAGTACAGGACCTTTTCCCTGACTTTATTTCTCTCAATTCCTAGTTTAGATATAAAGTCAAAATTGTGATTTATGTTATAGTCTGAATTGTAAGATAAAAACTCACGATTACCTTTTTTTATCTTTTTATTCCGCTATCATACTGAATAGTGTGTTCATGAGAGAAGTAGCAAAGTTGTATTAGGAATCATTCTATTGAGTCAGATCTGGTCAATGAATCAGTTGATTCAATTCACAAAGATGAATTGAATTTATCTGGTTCTCACTACGGTTCAGAGCCTACTGTTAAAGAGGATTCGATTGGTGTCGGTTTATTACATAACGTTCACAATCATATGACGCCCAAGTCACACAATTACCTTTATGATGCGTTTTTAGTGCTGATTTGTCTCCTTTTCAGAGTCTTAAAGCCTTAGTCCCCATTTATTATAACTGCATGAAAGAGAGTGACTAAAATGTCTCCAGTTGTATTCCATGAAAATGTGTTAGCAAATTGTCATATTTTAGGTGAACTATTCCTTTATATGTGTCTCTGTGGAGGGAACAGAAGTAGAAGGAGATGTGAGGAGCTAACAGGTGTGTGTCAGGTTTATGGGTCTGAAGGTTTGTGAGATGTGTGTGAAAGGTGTCACCTTTCATTAGATCTGGCCTTCAGGTACCGATCTGTGACGAATATAGAGGGCGGGGAGCGGGTGTTTCTCAAGGAAGAGGCTTCATGTGGGTAAGGAGTCTGAGGGACCAGGTCAGGACGGTTATAGGACCAGAACACTGTGGTATGAGATGACAGAAACATCACATGAGGTGATTTCCTGGATAAATGTACAGTATATGAAAGTTACTACATTGCTGTGCAAAAGTTTGGGGTCGGTAAGGTTCGTTAGTGTTTTTGAAAGAAGTTTCTTATGCTTACCAAATGCTTTCAAATGTAATAAACAGTGTGAAATATTATTACAATTTAAAATAACTTTATGGTTTAATATATTTTTAAATGTAATTTATTCCTGTGATGCAACTCATTACTTCAGTTTTCAGTGTCACATGATCTATTAGAAATCATTCTAATGCTGATTTGCTGCTCAAGAAACATTTCTTATTATCAATGTTGAAAACATTGATAATAAGAAAAAAAAAATCAGGATTCTTTGATGAACAGAAAGTTCAATGAACAGCATCTATTTGAAATAAAAATCCTTTGTAACATTATACGTGTCTTTACTGTCACTTTTAATCAATTGAATGCATCTTTGCTGAATCATTTTTTTTAAACATTTTTTTTAAAGAACAAAAACTTAATAACCCCAAAATTTTGAACGGCAAAGTATTACATTTTTGTTATAATTCATACCCAGCGCTGCAGCAGCTCTAATCCAGTGACATACATCAGCACAAAAAGTCAATGCAATAAGGTTTGTGTTCAGCTAGTACGTTTGCAATGAATGAGGAAGAAATGACTGTCTGGAAAACAAAACGACTGTCTCGGATGGCAGCTTGTTTTTCAGGGTTTTTCCAAAATCAGACAGTTCCTGTTTATATCTGTGAACATTAATAGAACTGATGTTGGCAAGTATGTCACCATTTGCGTTTGGTAATTGGATGATGTACAAATTAAGGGCTTTTTACATTGCCTTTAACCCAGGGTTTCATTTAACCCCAGTGTAATGGCATTTTTAACCCTGGCTAATGTTTCTGTCTCTAAAAATGCCGATAAGAATGCTAACCAAGATTTTAAAGATGGACTATAATCAGCTAATCCAGTGTAAAATATGACAATTGTGAAATATAAAACATAATAGCCCAGGATTATGTTAATCCAGAGTTTAAATTATCCCTTTCAAGTGTGAAAAGCCCTTTAGCCCTTAAAAGGATACTCCGCTTTTTTGGAAATAGGCTCATTTTACAACTCCCTCAGAGTTAAACAGTTGATTTTTACCGTTTTTGAATCCATTCAGCCGATTTTCTGATATTTAGAAGAATATCAGTAACCAGACAGTTTCTGGTCTCATTGACTTCCATAGTAGGAAAAAAAATATACTATGGAAGTCAATGAGACCAGAAACTGTGTGTTTACTGATATTCTTCTAAATATCATAAAATCGGCTGAATACATTCGAAAACGGTAAAACCCAACTGTTTAACTCTGGGGGAGTGGTAAAATGAGCCTATTTCCAAAAAAAAAGTGGAGTATCCCTTTAACCCAAGCTTTTTCACATTGTTAGTGCCGCCCACCTTGTCCATCCAGACTTGCAAGACTACGAGCTCCTCCAAGCCTGTCCACTCTCTCCTCGGGCTTCTCCTCCTTCGGCGGGGACAGCACCTCTTGAGAAGAACACTTCAGCGCTGATATGGAGTTACGTGCCCTCTTGCCAGGGGAGAAACGGTTTGCTGGATGTGTGACATAGAAACTAATTATGGACACTGTCCTAAATAAACTGAAAATATGATGATACAACTCTCCCCTAACTGTTACCTGGCAGCCGACAATTAGACCGTGAAACGAAATCTCGGCCCACTGTGTAACTTTATTAGAATGGGGGAAATATATCTACATTGTGCGATATTAATATTGAGCCATAATAAGGGGGGTGAATTACAGTTTCAGATTTCTTGAGTAGCTGAATAACATCTCAGAAAGAGGAAGGAGAAGTTCTGCTATTGTGTGCACTGATGTAATGTTTCAAAATATTCTTACTAATGAAAAGAAAAAGGTCGAGCAACAGTACTGGTGCAGCTTCCGTTCTTGAGTTTTGCAATTGGCAGGACGTTTTAAATGATTGATTATCATCTTTTTTAATGCACTTCTTTGAGCTGTGGCATCCATGTACATCCCTGTACAACAACTTTTGCATGCAAACAACACTCATATGTTCATCTAGTTTGATATAAATCTCAATTAATTGTACAAAGTCAGACTTAAAATTTGTTATTGAGATCATTTTAGTTTTAGGTATATGCTAAACATTTTGGTAACACTTTACAATAAAGTTGAATTTATTACCATTAGTTACTAAAGCTGCAGTCCTTAGCCTTTTTTGGGGTTAAAAATTATCCAAAATACATATTTGAGAAAATACATAACCAGCTAGTGTTCAAAAGTATCAGCTAGCCTTAGCTTGATTCAGCTTAGCTTTAGCATTACTTAGCTTAGCTTCGATTGTTTTTCAGATCATTTTAGTTTTAGGTAAATGCTAAAAATTTTGGTAACACTTTACAATAAAGTTGAATTTATTACTATTAGCTAACTACAGTAGTTAAAGCTGCAGTCCGTAGCTTTTTTGGCGGTTAAAAATTATCCAAAATAAATAGTTGAGAAAATACATGACCAGCCAGTGTTCAAAACTCTCTGCTAGCCTTAGCTTGATTTAAAGCGGTAAGCTTGTAATAATGTTTTTAAACGAATCTTTTTTCGTGTCATTTTGTTCATTCAACGAACGAAATGAACAAATTGACTCGGGAAAAGATTTGTTCATTTTGACAAACGAGTTCGAACAGGAGAGTCACGAACGCGCATCACAGAACAGAGCAAGGTGACCATTTGAGCTTATAAAACTTAAACTTTGTTATTTATTATTTTTTAAATGAGCGATCGTTTCGCTTGATGAGACCCTTATTCATCGTCTGGTGTCGTTTAAAGCCCTTTGAACAGTTTGCAGTTTGCACTAAAACTGTCTTTTGGACCGTTTGGTTACCAGTAAAGTGCATTATATGCAGAAAAATCCTGGAATGTTTTCATCAAAAACCTTAATTTCTTTTCGACTGAAGAAAGAAAGACATGGACATCTTGGATAAATAAATAAGTTTGTTCAAAAGTGAACTACTCCTTTAATTTGATAATTCTGTGAATAGCTGCAATTGCAGATTTCGAACAGAGATGGCGACAAAGAGGAAAAACCTCAGACTGAAGAAAAAATATCTCTACAGCTTTTTTGTTTTTGCAAAATTATATATTTTTTCAAACTAAAATTAACAAAGGTTAACAAATGCAGTAAAATATATACTCATACTTAATTCATGTTAACGAATGAGACCTTATTGTTAAGTGTTACCAAACGCTCTAAAAAATATATGAATTTTGAAAAAAATATGATGTTTCACATGTAATATTTGAAATGAATGTGCTCATATTGTTGGCTTACGGTGAATCTTTCTGAATACTCTGGTGCTCATGAACTTGAGAAATCTGTTTGCATAGAAACCCGGCCTGTGCACAGACACTGTATCCTAGGAGAAAGAGAATACATGACAATCAAAGCAGGAAGCATCCTTAAATCCCCAGAGGTATGAATAGTCTATTCATAAACGAATGGAGCAGAGAGACATATAGACTTACACCATCATAGACGAGTGCCTTCCAGGAGTGCTCCAGCTTCTTCATGAATCTTTGGAGGGAAATGAGAGCAAGAGATCTCGTCAGGGATAAGGGAGTTCACTTAACAGTGAGCTAATATGCTGTAAACTGGTGTATAACATGACATTTGGGCTTTTGGGTTTGCTAAACTGACAGCAGACTTACCTGTAAGACTGCAAGATGTCGATAATGCCTAGAAAAATAAGTAGTTTCTCATCCCTGTGTGTTTTTGCAGGAATACCTCCCATTCTGTATAAAAAAAAAACATTGTTTTATTATATAAAATATATATAAATTATATAATTTGTATTCAACAGTTATATTATCTCATAATGTTACGTAATTCATGTTTATTAGTGGCTTGGGAATCTCATAAAAACACTCCAAGATCAAGACAAACCATTTCCATCCAAAATATACATAAAATAATCATAAAGAACATTAACCTAAGATTTTTTTTATATCATTGTGATAATTTGTATCATCATTGCCTTAATGCACCATTTTATTTTGTTAACTTGTCATTTTTACATGATTTTAATACAACGTAAATTCAATTTAAGGTAATTTTTGATGTAACTATTAATAAATTAAATAATAAATTAAAGGTAGATAAAAAAATACTACAATTTATATGTGTATATTTACAATTATTATTTACATAGTCAAGTTACAATAAATTATAAATACTTCACAATATATAAAAAATAATGATTATAGATTAATTATTAATAATTACATTTCATTCAACAAAATACAATTTCTAATTATTTTCTTTTGATTTTAGGGGGAAATACGACGGTTCTTCTGTGACATTCACTGGCTACACACAAAATATTTTTACTAAAACTAAAAAAAAAAGTATTTGCAACCAATGTGCATTATTGTCTACTCTGTCTATTCACTTACACATACATTTATGAACAGCTTAAACACTGTGTGTCAGGGACTCACGTGTCATCGGTGGTCAAAGCCTCAGCTGCCTTGCCGTCTCCCTGAATGGACTCCATGGCGGTGGAGTAAAGAACTTTCTGTCCCACGATCCTCTTCCCGTCCCCATTGTTGACGTCTCCTTCTCTGTGACTCTGGTCCAGAACGTGCACCCCCAGCAACAGACTGTAGTCCATGATCTTAAAACTCTCTAGCACCTGCACCAAATACAACAGCAGTTAGCACACTGAATCTCACACACAATATGATGAGCGCCATTGCTAAAATCCTCTGGTACCTTGCCTTGTTGGCCACTGTGCTGTTTTTCCTTTTGTGAAAATGGTAACCCTCATTCTACAAAAGGCTTGTGTTTGCCAAGTTAATGTTTGGGGGGATGTAGGGTTGCTACAGGACACCAAATAAACAGAATAAAGATGTGTTTGGATGTTGCATGTCAGGCTTTTTGCAGAACAAGAGCTGCTAGAATCAGCCCTGCATTGTCAAAGTCTTGCACGATGAGCTTTTTGAGGCGGCATGTCAAGGTAAAAATGGCACTTATCAAGACCTCTATATTCTCTTCAATTCCACTGCACTCCGTCTAGTTGTTTGTGAACACAAACACATTCCCTGTGTGAACCAGAGTTAATTTAGTGTAACTGAGATACAAATATAGCCTAGTTTTTATTATTGTTTGGAATTAGTTTTTATTTTTATATTTTCTGTTTTCATTTTTACTTTAGTTAAAGTTTTAGTAACTTTGTTGTGTGTTTTTGCAATTACCTTTTTTAATAGTTTTTTATAGTTTTTATTTAAGTTTTATTTATTGGGCAATTAGCTCATCATTATAATTAGCTTTATCATTTGACAGCCCTAATATATATATATATATATATATATATATATATATATATATATATATATATGAAGAGTTCAGATGCAAAAGCCTCTAAGTGTCATTTGAAATTTTCTTCTAAAATTATAATTTTTATCAAGCTTGTATATTTAAGTTCAGTAATTTCACTTAAATGGCAATGAAGATTACCCATTAATTGTCATTTAAGTGAAATTACTGAACTTAAATATACAAGTTTGATGAAAAATCATCAATAAAGAAGAAAATTTCAAATGGCATTTAGAGGCTTTTGCATCTGAACTCTTCATATATATATATATATATATATATATCACGATTAATCATAATCGATTAATATCACGATTAATCGTATCCAAAATAAAAGTTTGTGTTTTTACATAATACATGTGGGTGCACTGTGTATAATTATTTTGTATATATATAAATACACACACATGCATGTATATTTAAGAAAAAAAAAAATTTATTTATATATAAAATATATATAATATAAATTATATATAAATCTATATACAGTATATACATGAAAATATTTCGTAAATATATACAAGCATGTGTGTGTATTTATATATTTAAAATAATTATATACAGTGCACCCACATATATTATGTAAACAGAAACTTTTATTTTGTATACAATTAATCGCGATATATATATTTATTTATATTCAGTTATAAGTTTACATTTATTTCATGTATTATATTGAAATTAATTTAGAAATTAATTTTGGTAAATCAAGCTTAAATATAGCTGCAAACAGCAATGACAGGCTCAAGCCACTCTGGTGGTTTTCGAGAAACAGTGCACGGTGGGCAATACTGTACATTCAAAGCAGGTAAATATATATTTTTCTGTTAACTAATAATTGTGAATGAATACTCACTATCACAGCTCTTAGCTTGTCTACTTTGCGGCATTTCACATTATCCAAATACACAATTTTATCAACAACAGAAAAAACAGCAATGATAGAGGGTAAATGCAGACACTTTTCAGTTTTCACAGATATCAAATTTAGTAGGTTTTATCCAGGGAGTCATGCATCAAATCTGATCAGAGTGCAATTTAGTGAAAATTAAAAATGCTCAAAAAAAACTCTTCAAAATGAAAACCTGAATGAACTAACATTAAGATTAAACTCTGGGGAAAAGTCTGTACAGTATCTTCAGAAATGAGTCAGAGTAGATTTGTTTATCAGTGGTAAGATACTACTGTAACTACCATAAACAGACTGAACATTTAAGCATTAGTCATCGATAGGCCGCCAAACAAAAGATCTCAGCCTATATGAGTGGAAAGAAACCACTTACAGTAAGGCTACATGTCTAAATACTTCAGGTTTTTTACTTCTGGCTTTAAATGAAACAAACTCAAACAAGCAGGCAAAATCCGCAGCAGTGAACCAATAAATGGTTTACATGATTTCAATTTTGCATGACACTCTCGTATCCCCCATATTCAAATGGTTTATTTGAATAGGTATGCACAACATCCTTGTTTTGCATCGCGTCAAGAACGTCTAAATGCCTCCAAATGGGCCCTAATCTAGGTCACGGCAATACCCGAAAAAGCCCGCAGTGGAAGCACATAGAGTCATTGGGTCAAAGAAAGGAATTTACATTTCCATTATTTTTTTGGGTGGGGTCACAGTTTAACAATCTGCTGAGAGGAGGAGTCTGAATAAATACCCCTTTTCACCAAATCCCGTGAGCAGCACAAACAACAAGTGTGGCGAAAGGCAGTATCATTTTGAAAACTGGTTTTACTACATATTTCCATATGTGAAATACACTCTTTAAGATAAAGCTTACTTTCTTAAACATTTTTCAGGCCATAAAGATTTTTAATTGAACATGAACATAAATTACACAAGGCTCATATCATACGTATTAGTATTCTTCCCTAAACGATCCACTTTGAGTCAAATACACGTTCTCAAGAGGCTTAAATTGATAGTTCACTTTGAAATAAATTTGTGGTATGTTTTAGATTACCTCGAGGGCATCCAAGATGTAGCTGTCTTTGTTTCCGCAGTAGTTTCAATTTTTATATTTTTAGGTCAAACCGTTTGAGTCTGTCAGTCATATAATGGAGGTCTATGGTCACCACCTCAAATCTGGTGACCATCTCTTATGCCTTGTGTTTTATAACGCCACACAGTAGCTTTTTATTTATTTATTTTTTACATTTCAGACTGATTATTCATAGTGACTAATATTAAGAGAGCATTTGTTCATGCAAGATTAAAATCAAACCAAAACATCAGTGTAGTTCTTACGATGACGAGTTGCAGAAACCATTTAAAAGGTTTGTTCTTGATTATTATAGATTTGGCTGTATTGTGCTCTGCAGTCGAGGCCCAGGGTGTGATGCTTACTCAGGAGAAACTTTCTGCTTAGTGTTCATTTTAGTTTCTGCACAGGACGTAAGGAAAAGCTAACAATAAAAACTTACAGTACTCATGGGAATGTGTTTGAACTGCACTTTGTGTTTCCTTGAAGAAAGAACATTTTCTTCTTATATAGTATAGTGTCAAAAGGATGACAAAAAATCAGTTGGAAGAATTTCAATCCATAAAAGACCATTTTTTTTCTCAAAGGCTGAAGTTAGATCACAGGTGGGCTGGTCCGAATGTCCCCAACTATGGTCATTACTGTGCGGAACTCGAGTTCTCATTTTCCCTCGGCTCTCTTGTGACTCGCATTACGGCTGATCCTTTTAGTTCAGCGCTCACTGGGGGCGGTCAGTACGTAACATGCCAAAAACGGTTATATAGGGAACATTCAGTCTCTGAGAATGTTCAACAACAGGTCATGTCTGGAATGCCATCGCCATGGGACTGTTGTGAGGCTTGTTTATTGGTAAACAAATGAACAGTAAGATACTTGCTTGGTCGAACACCAGGTCTGCAGAAGAATTTGAGAAGCACAAGGCGACCACAGACGGTTACCTAATGCATTTGGGACACTTCAGCATCATGCCACAATCATTGAGTAATTTAGTTATTGCAACTCGGTTTTGCGGGAACTTAGGCTAAAAAGTGAAAGAAAACATGTCAGAGTTCGCATTTGTCCTTGAAAGATACAGAAGTGCACAAATAGGACACAAAAATGACAAATTAGCTTATTTTAATTGTTTTCTGGACAGCAATGTGAAGGAAGAATTAAAAGACTTTAAAGGATTTTAGAAAAATGAGAAAACAGTTACTTTTTTTAAAGTTTTTCCATTTTTTCCAAACCCCAATTTGGAATGCAATTTCCAATGAGTTTCTTTCTTCTGCTGAAGAATATTTTGCTGGACGATATTTTGAAGAACGATTGGAACCAAACAGTTGTTTGCCATCATTGACTTCCATAGTAAAAAAAAATACTATTGAAGAGATTTGTTGTCACAGTTCCAGTTGATCTTTAAAATATCTTCCTTTGTGTTCAGCAGAAGAAAGAAACTCATACAGGTTTGCAACAACTTGAGGGGGAGTAAATGATTAAAAGAAAGAATTAGTAAAAGAATTTTCATTTTTGGGTGGAGTATTCATATATTTTTTTAAATACTTTTCAAAATAGAAAAGTAGTGACTCTGCTGTTCGAACTCGTTCATTAAAATGAACGAATCTTTTTTCGAGTCATTTTGTTAATGTTGTTCATTGAATGAAACAAATGACTCGAAAAAGAGATCGTTCGTTTTGATGAACAGGAAAGTCACGAACGCAGTTAGGGGAACGTTCTGGAAACTTTATGGGAACACTCCCTTTAGGTTATAAAAATAGAACCTAAAAATAAACTACAGGGAACGTTTCTAAAACGTTCTTGTTTCACTCTTAGAAGAAATGGTTCTATTTAGAACCAGGAATGGTTCCATCCCCCGCTTCATATATGGAACTCCAAAATGGTTCTATATAGAACTATTTTTTTTGGTAAAAAGTATGGAACCCCAAGGTTCTAAACCCAGAGGAACCCTTTTTTTAAGAGTGTATAGAACCTTTTAGGGGTTCCAAATATGTAGGGCTGATAGAACCTTTTAAGGTTCTATATAGAACCTTTTCTTCTAAGAGTGTTGGTTCCCAAAAAATGACCAAATGGGAACCATACAGGAACGGTAGGGGAACGTTCTGTTTTGCTGTGCACCTAGCAATGCTCTGAAAACCACTCTGAACAACTTAACCATAGCATTGCCATGGCAAAACCCCACAATGCATTGTGACAGCGGTTTCCTTGGGGAACAAAAAAATGTTTCTTATCTATCTACAGTATAGTTGTTAAATACTGCCAGAACAGACCGTTGTAGGGCAAGTAAGTTAAGCAGTAATGGAAAATGTCTAGGAGGGAAAAATACCCTCTGATTTTTTTAACAAATCATTTATTGGAAAAAAAAAAATCATGCAGAAAAACAACAATATTTACCAGACCATGTCAACAGCCCAATCGTCTAAAATAGAAAGGAATGCCAGACTGGATTTATGCGGTTTGTTTTCCAGCTAAACGGAGAGGTTTGCCACTCAGCACATTTTGAATCTGTTAATGAGCTACTGTGGAGCTGAAGACTATCATGAACTTGTTTCCCATGAAACTATGGCGTCTTGCATGAGCGCTTTTGCAAGAGGATGAGACTAAACATCTTTATAGTTGATTAGAGGGTCAAAAAAGAAAACAATGAAAGTGCACATTTATATAACATTTTTAGAAAAACACACAAAATATGACCAGAAAAACAACACTTTTGACATAAAATGTATCTAAAACTGCATTTTAATGCAGCCTGTCTATTATGTTATAATATCTTTTGATTTTAAAGGGATAGTTCACTTTGAAATAACTTTTTGGTATATTTTAGCTTACCTCAAGGGCATCCAAGATCTAAGTGTCTTAGTTTCCACAGTAGTTTCAATTTTGATATTTTTAGGTCAAACCGTTCTTGTGTGTCAGTCATATAATGGAGGTCTATGGTCACCACTTCAAAGAGCATGCACAGAGAAGTCCAAATTAAACATGATTTGATTACTCGATTTAATGATTGAAACTACTGCGGAAACAAAGACACCTACATCTTGGATGCCCTTGAGGTAAGCTAAAACATTCCAAAAATATATTTCAAAGTGAACTATCCCTTTAAGTTTAAACAACAAGCATAGCTGGTGGTTTTGTGGTTCTGTCCCATTCTGCAATGGGGCAAGCATACTTAATATAATTGTATCATTTGACCTTCTCTAGTTGTATTTACATTGATGCTGTTGGTTTTCTAGTCGCGTTAAGCAATCGTCTTGAGATGTAAAAAGATTAGTTACCTGATTGTTACCCTCTTCGTGATTCAAGTATCAAGAGTGTGTTTAAAGGTTTTTAATGTATGTTTTTGTCTCATGAGTGTTCATGTAATGAGGGATTTTGTGGTCAACCGTGTAAGGCAACAAGCAATTAGCTCTCCATGTACAGTACTATTCAAAAGCTTGGAGTAACAATTAACTTAAATAACTGTTTTGAATTTGAGTATGTTTAAAAAAACTGTACAAAGCTGAATGTTCAGCATCATTACTCCAGTATTCAGTGTCACATGATCAGGTTTCCTTCAGAAATCACTCTAATATGCTGAGTTGCTTCTTAAGCAACATTTCTTCAAACTGTGACACATTTTTCCCAGAATGTTTGATGAACAACATTCAAAAGAACAGCATTTATTTGAAACAGAGTAGCAATGTAAAAAGCAAAATATAAGTGTGAGATAACGATATTTTGATTCTGCCCACCTCTGTTTTTGTGAACTCCATTTATTAAAGTGAAACATGAGACATATGATAGAGTAATGATACATTACCCTGTAATGATTTGTAACAAACTTTAAAACCCTACAGTGACTCAGGTTTGATTAATTCAAGCTAGGCCATCACAAAAACAGTGCTACTCAAATGTGAAAAATACATCTCATGATTCCCCATTGTTGCTTAGCTTTCAATTAGTTTTATATTTTATTGGCAACACGTTTAGCAAACTCCTATCACGTCAGCAACCACAGCAGTTCCCTGAAAACCACCCAGAAGAACACACAATTCACATTTTCTTTGAAAAATGTCAAAATGGGGTAGTACTCACCCGGCAGTCTCGTTGTAGCGTCTTCATCAGGGCGTTATATGTCTCAGTGTCAAAGTACAAGCCATCGTGCATGTCCACAAAGTCTAGGTCCTTATATGTGGGGCAGGCCTTTTCCCGCTCTTTTCGAGAAGCCCGTCTCTTGTACGTGGAGCCCTTCAGGTCATATTTGTAGTGCATCTTTAAAGACCGTGGCAGAACGTTGTTCATAACCACGAGACGGATGTTGATTCCTCCAGACTGAACACAGTACAGGCCGTAGAATTTGGGTAGGAGAGTCCTTGGGTTCTGGTTGAGGTTCTGAGAAAGTGAAACGGCTTTAAATTAAGGAGATGTCATTTTTTAATGTTTAAATTAGTTCTATCCTAATGATTGTAGTCAAATTTAAGTCATTCTAGGGCTCTGTAATACTATCAAAAACCACTAGAAGTGCAAAACGTACACACTTCACATTAAATTTTTGAGTATGTACAGTACGTATCTAACTTTTCTGGTGTAATGTTTACACAAAATACTGAACTGGAAAGGCTGGAAAATTAGGACATACTGTACGTATAAGACCATGAAGAATATACAAATAGTCATCTATAACAGTAAGATACCTAAAAATGTACAAATTACTCAACCAAAACGAGTGATTTAATATTTTTGAGGCAGCGTTTCACATCAAAAATTAACTAATATACAGGTATAATGCACTGGGTGAGCCAATGGTCTGTTTGCCACCAATATACACAGAAAAACAAAACAGATCAACATTTTTAAGTATTATTTTATATTTTTACATGTAAATATTATTTATTTTTTAATTAATTGCATAATTTTATATGAAATATTGTCTTTTGTGTCTGGTTAGAAATAATTATGCCGCAAAAAAATAAAACCTATATTGGCTGATTTAAATAATTCTGCACAAACGTGAAAGGGTAAAGTGAAAGGTGAAAATGAGAAAGGGTAACATGAAATCAAAGGTCACAAGGCACTTAAAGGTTGGCATAAGGTTATTTCTGAGTTGATTCCACTAGACGAGCGTCTTATGTACAACATCAGAAAACAAGGCCAGTTTTATAAGGTCTGAATCCCATATCTAGACCCTCCTATTCATCATATTATATTAGGAATATTGTAATTATATAATACTCAGGACTTTGAATAATATTTGTCCTCTTCTTCATCTTTGTTTAATTTGTATTTTTTTTTATTACGGAATCAGAATTATTAAGTATTACTGTCTTTTATATACATTTGAGCTATGTGGGTCTCTTTTTTGAGTGTTTTTCTTTCTATATTTGTGTTATAATTAAAATTAAAAAAAACATAATCATATACTCAAAAAAAAAAATGTTGGGTTGTTTTAACCCAATTTTGGGTAAAATATGGACAAACCCAGCCATTGGGTTAGAAATGTAATTTAAAAAAGGTAACCCAATGGCTGGGTTTGTCCATATTGGGTTAAAACAACCCAGCATTTTTTAGAGTGTATATAAAAATGGTCCTTTTAAAGACATCAGTAGTAATTCTCTAAAACAGACAGATGAGCAAGAACAAAACAGTCTGTACTACTGAATCACAGCGTCTTTACTATAGAGATGAATGACTCTTTACTCCACTGAGACCTACCATGTAGTATCCTGGAAGCAGTTTTTGCAGGAACTCGGCCTCCTTGTGCTGGACGGTTTTGATGATGAACTCATCATCGCTGGTCAGGTAGAAGAGTGAGCCGCTGGCGCCCGGATTAGACAACTCAATCAGGGGCTCTTTACAAATAGCATACTGTAGGATACAAGACAAAACAATCCATTATAAATAAAATATTTATACCAGGACAGTTTTGAATACTTGAATCTGATTGGTTGACAGACAATCTAATCTAAGGTGTGCAATCATTTTCAGGAAAAAGTAGTTCCAGTTCCAGGCAGGTCTGGACCGCATTACAGTTCCATATCACTTCGCCAAATAATTTCAGTTATTTCAAAAATCCTTACAGGTCCCAAGTTACAGACCTACAAAAGAACCAAAACCTACAACGACACTGACCAAGCAAATAAATATAGTAAACAATAGGATAAGTCGACAAATTATTTTCACGTTTTTTTGCCACAAAATTATGTTTTATTATGTATGGACGGCACATACTCTCTCCTACTCAAACGAACAAACATACAATAGACACACACTCACACAGAAACGTGTTGTTAGTGCTGCCCTGACGATTTTATCATTAAAATAGTTTAGCAACTTAAAAGCTACATGACGTTTCTCACTAGAGAGGTAATAATAGCGCCGTTCTTGCAACAGATAAACGTACTTATTCCTTACATAGTTTGAAAGAGGTATATATATACATACTATATTACTAAATTAAATATATTATAAATTGTACCATTGATATTTCATGTAATTGTCAATGGCAATGCTTCATGGGATAAGCAGATCATTTCATCAATAGAATTCAAGTAAACAAGTGCCTGTTTTGCACATTTTGAATGGAAACTGAGGCCGCTGAAAAAGTGGGTGGTCTTGTTGCACACAATATAATCATCAAGAGGAGAAGGTGTCTGAAATGTACAAGACTATGTGTGCAACTTATAATGAGGTACTCTGGGACTTTTATGAAAGAGCATCTATTTTTAGCTGTGTTTTAAATATATGAAAAACCAAACAACCAATTCATATTTGTGCTACTCTTAAGAAACTCTAAAGAAACGAGTTACTCATAAAACATGAATTATAAAACATCACCAAATTGACTGGCTGCAGTACTTGCAATATCCCCCCCACAAAAAAAAAAAAAAAAAAAACAGTATGCCTTACACACTGAAAGACCAGATTATTACTGCCAGGAAGTCCTGTGGTTTAATTAGGGTTGCGTAAAAACCCCAAACATTATGAGGTCTTAAAGCAAACATTTCTACTGCCCTTTCTGGCGGTGTTCCCTGAGGAGGCCGGGACGCAGCATGAGGACAGTGTTGAACTGAGGCCAGACACTCATATTCAAGGCCTGCCTAATGAAAGTCAACAGTCACGTTGTACTTCCAGCCCAAACACATGGACATTAGCATTTGGACAGCGTGTCATCCCGCGTGTGTGTGGCTTCTTAATTAGCTCACGTTTCCTCTGGCCTATCTGCATAACTACAAAAATATACACACAACAAACTCAGAGGAGTACACTTACATCACATTCTTTCATCTTTAGCCTAACCGTTTCCTACTGTATTTTAGTCTTGCATTTTCTTTCCTAATTGCTTTTTCTTAGTGCCCAGTTATAGTGAAAACCATCTACATTTCGTACTAAACACAATTTATTGTGGTCACTGCTTGTGTATAAAGACTGTGTATATTTAGAATAGCATAACACACAACAACACATATAATCTTTGCATTGTGTATGCACAAGTATGCAGATTTTCTGTCTGTGTTTGGAATATCTTACTGAATACTGTGCTGTATACTGCCAACTACTAAATGAAGTTTTGTTAATAACTAAGTTCGGGAGGAGCACGTTCAGATAATTAACACGAGTGGACGGCAATCAGCAATCAGCAACCAATGATAAGAGGGTATATATAGACTCAGCAGTCTTACCTCGATCCATTGGCAGTTTGCAGCATCCCTCCTCCACCCCTTCTCCACACTCCTAGTCCTGCACACTCCTCTTTCTAAAAAATCACTTGCATACGGGGGGAGTACTCTGGGTTCGGGCAGAATTCCGAGCACGGAGCCCTCCCTCCGGACAGCACGCCAAATACGCATTGAATCTTACTCACTCAAATTATATGTAAGTGTGAACTCGTGAAATAAACTACTGGATACATGTTTCAAAATTGAGTTTGCTATACATTACTTTTTAGAATTATTAATAAAATTGTAAATTAATAAAATTTTATTAATACAATTAATAAAAAAATAAACTACTGGATAAATGTTTCAAAATTTAGTATGCTATGTACATTACTTTTTAGAATTATTAAAAAAAATGTCTTAAAGGAGTAGTTCGCTTTAAAAAAAAAAAACCTTTGCTGATAATTTACTCACCCCCATGTCATCCAAGATGTCAATGTCTTTCTTTCTTCAGTCGAAAAGAAATTAAGGTTTTTGATGAAAACATTCTAGGATTTTTCTCCATATAATGGACTTCAATGGGAACCAAACGGTTCAAGGTCCAAAAGAAAGTTTCAGTGCAAAATGCAAACTATTCAAAGGGCTTTAAACGACACCAGACAATGAATAAGGGTCTTATCGTGCGAAACGATCGCTCATTTAAAAAAAAAAAAAAAAATTTAAGTTTTATAAGCTCAAATGGTCGCCTCGCTCTGTTCTGTGATGAGCGTTCGTGACTCTCCTGGCGACCATTAGAGCTTATAAAACTTAAACTTTGTTGTTTTTTTTAAATGAGCGATCGTTTCACTTGATAAGACCTTTATTCATGGTCTGGAATCGTTTAAAGCCCTTTGAACAGTTTGCACTTGAACCGTTTGGTTCCCAATGAAGTCCATTATATGGAAAAAATCCTGGAATGTTTTCATCAAACACCTTAATTTCTTTTCGACTGAAGAAAGAAAGACATGGACATCTTGGATGACATGGGGGTGCATAAATTATCAGCAAAAGTTTTTTTATAGGGAACTACTCCTTTAAAAGAATGCTTAAGTGTATCCAGAGTAAATGCAAATAATAAGGAACTCCCATTCGCCTATGCAAAATAAAGAATGCAAAAAAGGTAGTTTTGAATAGTATTATGTAAAAAGGTATTCCCTAATCATTATAGAGAGCATAAACTCCAGCTTCTGCATAGCATACACTATATAATTAACTTTTTTGTGCAATGCAATGCAATCACACACTAGATTCATTACAGAGGATGATATAATGCAGGTACATAAATTACATGGGAAGACCAGACTATCAGGCTTTGATACCTCTCTGCTGGGCTAATTACACGGCCATTAGATGTCAAAGTGCAGAGGAGGCAATTTACAGCTTGACTGAGATCATATGCGTAATCAGCATCATCCACCTGACTCACATACGCAAACACTCAGATTAACCTGCATGAGAGCTGCAGAGATGCTGCAGAGGCACTGCAGTGGCTGCGAGATGCGTTGCAGTGCAGGGAAACGTACACATCCAACACCTCATCGCAATGTGCCAGGACGTGAACACATCAAACCAAACCGCTAATCCCTGCTGGGAATTTATAAATGTGGACGTAGATTCTGAGTTTCTGCCAGTCACAGTTGGCAAGATGCAGCGGTAAAGTTCATCAGTGGTCAGCAGTCTCTTGGTCACTCGTCCTGGCGCCTGATGTAAGCAGGCACTGAACTTTAATTCATACAAAGATGCTTTGTTAGGGCTCAGACAGAGGGAATTTTTAGGGAATGGGACACGTAATATCTTGGCATTAATACGGAGGTGAAAATTGCATTTGGTTGCAATCATAGCAGTTCATGCATGCTTTGCATTGATGACCAAGAGCATGTTAGCCATTGTTTAAAAGTTTGGGTTCGGTAAGTTTGAAGTCTCCTATGTTCACCAGGGCATCATTTATTTAATCCAAAACACAGTAAAAACTGAAATATTATTATAAATATATTGAAATACACAATATGATCAATAAGTTATGACAACTAATATTTTTACGTTGTTTTAACGTTTTTCAGTTATACAAGATTCAACAATTTAAAGAAAAATTGAAAATTGTGTTTTACCAAGTAATCATCTGGCTTGATCCCGAACAGCTCGCGGAAGTAGCGGAAAGCCAGTGGTGCGTAAGTCTTGAAACGGAAGTCTGGGTAATGATGCGCTGGAGTCAGGTTGCTTCCCTCACTGCAAAAGTGAAAGCATTTGCTTAAAGGTGTAGTTCACTTTAAAAAAAAAACTTTTGCTGATAATTTACTCACCCCCATGTCATCCAAGATGTCCACGTCTTTCTTTCTTCAGTCGAAAAGAAATTAAGAACATATGGATTTTCTCTTATAATGGACTTCAATGGGAACCAAACGGTTCAAGGTCCAAATGAGAGTTTCAGTGCAGCTTCAAAGGGCTTTAAACGACACCAGACGATGAATAAGGGTCTTATCAAGCGAAACGATCGGCCATTTCAAAAATAAATAAAAAAGTTTAAGACTCATAAGCACAAATGCTCGCCTTGCTCTGTTCTGTGATGAGCTTTGTGACTCTCCGGTTCAAACTCGTTCATCAAAATGAACAAATATTTTTTCGAGTCATGACTCGAAGTGTCCTAGATAAGACCCTTATTCATCGTCTGGTGTCGTTTAAAGCCTTTTGAAGCTGCACTGAAACTCTCATCTTGAGCTGTTTGGTTCCCAATGAAGTCCATTATATGGAGAAAAATCCTGGAATGTTTTCATCAAAAACCTTAATTTCTTTTTGACTGAAGAAAGAAAGACATGGACATCTTGGATGACATGGGGGTGAGTAAATTATCAGTTTTTTTAAAAGTGAACTACAAAGCATATATGTGAATCAACTGTTTGTTTCATTAATGATCATCACATTCGCTGACACAAGAGGCTTCAGGGCAGAATCTGGTTTCTGTCTGTAAACATAATCCTGTAAGAGGACCAGAAATTGTGAGAATCTGTTACCCAACCTAAATGCTTCTTTATGCCCAAGGAACAGAGACACATTTGATCTTTCTGAGCCCCATTGAGCATGTCCTTGTTGCAATGTGACCCACCAGCAGTAAACACCAGAGGTACTCTTTTCCAGAGACACACAACAGTAACCAATGCCTGAGGACAAGGAGGTCCTAGTCTTATACTAACGGTTACACAAACTAAAGACCAGGGTCAGCCACGTCAGTCACACATTATATAATGAAAGCAAGCCCTGAGGGAAAAAAGTCCTGTAACCCATTTTCACCTTTTTTTATTATGAGGCAGTTCATTAGTATTTGGATTAACCCCATTTGAATAATTCCTAAACGTGTGTCTTAAAAGGGACATATGATGTCATAATCACTCAGTATGTACAGCTAAACAAAAAGTGCCTGTGATCCCTCATAACAAGTGGATTAGAGAGTTGTTGTTTATTCAGGGCAATTGAATAAGTTCTGAGCATTAGCTGTTGCAGACGATGTCCCACTATTAAACGATAAACCCCGATCCGTGCCCATTGTGTAACCCAATCCAAAACATCTGACCTCTGAATTAGAGCTTGTCTCTAAGAACTAAAACAATAGCGGGCAGATGAGGGGCAGACGACTGACCTAACTCTGAAAAATTAGGCTTTAACATGTGCAAATCTGTCTCATAGACATACAAGTGCTGGTAACACTTTACTTGAAGGGGTGTGCATACAGTAAGACTGACATGACACCTTCATAATCATGACATGACATACGTCTTGAAGATGAAGTAGGGTTTATGAATGTGTATGACAACTGTCATTAAGTGTCTTTCACTCAATAATGACATTTTGAATGCAAATATGACATTGTTTAAGATGACATCTTGACATAAACCATAACATCATAACCTGTCAGTGTCTTTGTCATGACAACTTGGGGCCATTATAACTGTCGTGAATATTTTTTGTGACCTCAATAACAGTGGTATTAATTGAATTTGTCATTAAAAAGTTATAATGGCTTCATGACAGCCAATGTCAAAACAAACCAGCTGACAGTTTAATGTAATGTTAACCAATAAAGCTAGGTGGTTTCTTAAGTTTGATAATTAATCTGCTATGTCATGTTTATGACAGGTTGTGTTGTCTTGTGTTGTCATATTTGCATTAAAAATGTCATAACTGAGCGAATGACACTTAATGCCAGTTGTCGCAAACATGCATAAAACTTCTTTCATATCCATAACATATGTCATGTCATGATTATGAAGGTGTCATGTTAGTCATATGCACACCCCTTCAAGTAACGTGTTACCGTACTTTCTGAGTGATTAACTGATTAACTCACTTAAAATTGTAAGGCAACCAGGTTCAACTTTTTTAAGTTAAATCAACAATATTTTTTTACAGTGGTTCATTATATGCATTTTATGTAAGTTACCTGCTATTTATTAAATAAAATTAAAAATAAAATGCATTATACTGCTATAAATCTCCTTTATTTACATTTGGTCATATTAAAAACTGTACCAAATTGCAATTGTTTCTCTCAGTTTTAGGTATTTTTCATTGTACATTTTTTTTTACAAGATTTGTTATCACAACATTTTCTTTTGTCAAATCAACTTAAATAATGTATTTAGTTCAGAATCAGATAACTTATTATTTTAAGTTTCTGATGATTAAATCAATCTCCCTCATTGCATTAACTCACTTTTTCCAGTTCAACTTCAACCAAGTTACTTACTTTTTTAAGTTAAACCAACAATATTTTTTTTTCAGTGTTGGGTAATGGTAGTGTATGAATAATAAACGTGCTTTAAAGTTTAAATTATTTTAGTTTTAACCAACTTGTCCTCTTCTACTTTTAACGAATACAAATAAATTTGTCATCATACCCAATTTACTCTAGATACAGATAATAATATTTGTTGCACGCCCCTACTATGCGTATTCACAGTATGCAAACTTTAATTCAAACGTTGCATAAAGTATTTTGCTTCATCACAAAGTATATGCAAAACATTGTAAGTAGTACACAACCACAGACTGTCGAACTGGTTCAGACTGAGGGCGAATGCATGCAACTAGAGTGCAATCCCCAGTGACAGAATCAGACTCTATAAATAAGGAAGTCAGGCTAGTGGATCAGTGGCATCCCTTTGAATCTTCTATATACTCTGCTCACTAAAATTAGTCTTTTGGGAATCATTTGTGCAAGAATCAACTGTGCAGGATTTAGCATGAGCTCAAGTTCCTATAATTCCCATGATACACTCTGTTTAGTGTGTGATTAATCACTGCAAGATGTACTGATGTTAAGATTTCCCTATTTAGGGGGAAAAAAGAAGAGCAGATGACCCAAACTAAATACAATATTTGAGAATTTGAGAAATGTCCTCATTCCAGACCACTTTGCCATCAACATTGACAAAACAGCAATATGCGTAGGTATGCATCCTCTGTCCATACCTGGGTAAAAACACACTCTCCACCACATAGAAGTCCTGCATGAGCACATCTCGGTCAGGTTTTGAGGTCAGATTCCCCACGGTGTAACCAATGCCAAGCTGGATAGCTCCTTTCAGGGCAGATGATGTAGTCTGAGACAATATCGGAAATAAAAAGCAAAACAAATTAGTATAGAGTAACTGTGAAACCTGCTCGTTTTTAGATGCAGACTAAACTCGCCTACTAAATCTTCTTCGGTTAAACAAATTACATTTGTGCAGGTCAAAACTCTTGAAGAAGGTTCACTGGAAGTATTAGATCAGCCTTAACATGAAAAGGTCTAACAAAACCATCAAATCCGGGAATTTTGGAAAGTTCATAGATAGGCCTCTGTTGATATCAACATTTAGAAGGGTGGACATTATCAACATTGGACAAACGGACAATAACGTGAATGGAAAAAAGTAGCTCATTCTTCACTGAACAGAGGTGTCGGCGGACAATTTGTCGATCTTTTTCTGTGTATTATCAACACAGATGTACATAGTCATGGATTAAGAGGCCCTGCCTTGGAAAATTCAATCATAAGTGAGTTTTTGTTTTTGTTTTATATACAAATGGGTTATGCCGGGTACAAACTGAGTGTTTTTCAAAGTCGTCGGATCGCTGTTCTTCTTACACTACACGACTGTCTACCATTTAGTTGGCGCTGTGTGCACATTACATGGCGGATCGGTGACCGGGTCACACATTACACAACATTTCAATAGGAAGAATCACAGAGAACTACTTTTCACAACCGAACACGAGCGACAGGAGTTCTCGCGGCTGAATTTCTTCTTGTTAAAATGATGCCCGCAAAAGCTTGTGATCCAAGGTGTGTGTGCGCTGATTTGCAGAGAAAAAGAAAAAAAGAAGAATATGAAGGCGAGAATGGTTGCTTGCAGAAGCCATGTTTGCTGATATTCTGTTGCAGGTCTATGACTCATCTTCCTGAACTTTACCTATCCCTGTATCTCTCATTGGCTGTAGGTCGATGTCATTTCCAGTCAAAACACATTTTGCATTGACTGGTCTTATTTTTGGGAGATATGAGGGTCCGTGTCTCTACAGCTAACTTGGATTGCGTATGCCTTGATAACCAATTACATAAAAGCCTTGATGTCACTGAATTTGAGTTAATCAGTGTTAGCAGATCCCATACAAATTAATGATACGCCCCACAACCTGAATCATGCCTTTTGTGCAATTTCTCTTATTTTGTTCAGTGTAAACTCTAAAAATAGATCAATACTAAATTAATGTTTAAGAGCTAACATGTGGAGGATTAGCCGATGGGCTGTCGATTCATTAAATGATAAGCTATTTCCTAACAAAAGCAGTTTATTCAGCGCAGTGAAGCGTCTCCTCCATTGACATCCATAAAAAAACTCCATAAAAAAGCCTCTTGTCTTTTGTCACAGACAGGTACAGATATTTAGTATTCTAAATACTTCACAGGGATCAGCGACACATCGCCGCTTCACACTAGATAATACACACTACATGATTTTCACTCAGCGAACGAGCACCGGTTTCCCTTTAATTTCAGCAGCACCTCATTGCAGTACGCGAGATCCAGGGGGCGAAGTTGGATCCAGATCTAAGGGGTGGAGATGGGTAGGATAAGGGGTGGGGTTAGGGATCAAGGGGTGGAGATGGATAGGATTAGGGGTGGGGTTAGGGATCAGGAGGCGGAGATGGGTTTGTTTAAGTATATGTAAGGTGGGAGGAGTTGGAGATCCAACTCCTCCCCCTGGATTTCATGTTCTGCAGAAACCATCTATTTGATTTCAGCCATTTGTTGGCGATTTTCACGAAACTGTCGTCGACTGAAATTTGGAGCTATAATCATGCAGTTTGTACCCGGTATTAGATGACAGGAGAAGGGTAGCCTTTTATAATTCTTGAAATATATCAAATTATGAATTCATTTTTTCATTTTCTAATTTTCTTGCTCATTTTAATATTACTTTTTTACTTTAGTCTACTGATCTATATATTAGGTGTAAATAACATCATTGACAAGGAGCCATTGTGGTTAATATTTATAAATCACGTAAAAAAATGTAAAAAAAAAACAAATACATAAATCCTATACAAATTAAAAATAATAGACAATTAAAAAACGGTGCTTTTAAAATACAAAAAAGTAATATTTTATAATAATGGGTTCTACACGAAAACAAAATATTGTAGATAAAAAGAAAACAATAATGAAAAAACAATCTACCTTTTTGTATGTTTTCTCTCTACTGTTATTGCTAGACCCGCTGACTCCATTCTCATTGGCTGATGACATCTACATGAAGCAACAAAGAGTTAAAAAGTTAAACAAGACCAGTTTACAGCCATTAGCTGAGTGTATGTAAATAATGTCCTCAGGGCGTGTCCAGCCATAAACCATGACATTTGCAAAGGAGCCAGACACAGACCACAGGATATCCTCCCAGAGTAATTGAGTGGCTTGTAAATGAAGTACATGTGTGGCTCTGCTAATAAAATATTACGCAATTAGGGTTTACCTTGTTTCAACCAAGCACACAGGTTTTGGTCTGCTGTTCAGCGCTGCTGCATGGCTCAGTCATGTGGACCGTGTGGAAAGCAGAGGTCTGGCTCAGAATTGATGTTCGTCCTGTCAACAAGAGGATGGGAATGTTCTAGTTACTATGACAGTGGAGGGAAAACCAAGAGTTTTAAAGGGATAGTTCACCCAAAAATTCAAATTCTGTCATTACTCACCCCTCTGTCGCTCCAAACCCATACGATTTTTATCATTTTCAGAACACAAATGTAATTCTTTTTGATGAAATCTGAGATTTCTGACCCTCCATTGACAGCTACGCATCTACCACTTTGACGCTTCAAAAAGTTCCTAAAGAGATTGTAAAACTAATCCATATAAATTGAGCGGTTTAGCCCAAATTTAATGTACTGTAGGTTTTTATTCACATATAAACATTGATCAGAGAACATATACAGAAGCTCAACATGCGAGAACAAACCTCATTGGTTCTTGCTGAAGTTCAAACGTGCTACGTAACACGAGAATGAACCTCATTGGTTCTCACACAAGCGAACATGCTTGAGCTTCAGTTTACCAGATCTGATGAATGTCCCCAGACAGCAAACTGACATTGAATCAACGTGGAAACGACGTCTCTCATGACATTGAAACAACGTTGATTTGCTCATCGAATTAACGTTGAACCAACGTCAGACGCGGCATTCTTCAAAGCTAAATGAAATCGAAAATTGGTTTGCTTTCATAACGTTGAAACAACGCGTTGATTTCAAGTTGATTTTCCGTTAGTTTTGAAAGAATGACGCATCTGACGTTGGTTCAACGTTAATTCGATGAGCAAAACAATGTCAGATCAACGTTGTTTCGATGTCATATTTCCACGTTGATTCAATGTCAGTTTGCTATCTGGGTCTACATGTGAATTAAAGTTTAAATTCAATCTGTTCATCATATAAAGTCTCTTCAAAAAAACTGGACTAAACCGCTCAATTCATATGGATTAGTTTTACGATCTCTTTATGAACTTTTTGAAGCGTCAAATTGTCAGTTATGTAGCTGTCAATGGAGGGTCAGAAAGCTCAGATTTCATCAAAAATATCTTCATTTGTGTTCTGTAGATGAACGAAAGTCTTACGGTTTTTGAGCGACATGAGGGCGAGTAAATGATGAGGGTTTTTTTTTCACCCCAAACGTTTGAATGCATGAAACATTGTTTTTACAACTATTTTAAAACAGAAATTGTGCATTATTGATCAGCTAGGTTGAACTGACGTTCTGTTTGTAAAGCTAGAGGTGCAGAAACTACACACTTCACCTTAAGTGAAAGATTGATTTCAGGCATTCTCATCGACACAATGCAGAATGTTTTTAAGTTGGTCTTGTGACCACCTAAGTGTGTGTTTGCAGCCGCAGCGCTGAATAAACGGTGCGTCGTAAAGTCAGCAGACAGAGTGCAGGGCCTCACAGTCTGTGTAAATGAGGAATAATGGTCTTTCAGACTGTCTGCATAAACAAACTGTGAGACCGAGCCCTTATTCAGAGTCAAGAGCAGCCTGTGACTCTAAAGTGCCATTCGCTCTGTGCCAGCACGTTTATATCAGTGGGTCTGCAGAGAGGGAAAACAGAGGGAAAACCAAGCGAAAGTGTGGATGTTTGCTCCTGATAACCAGCTGCTGTCTGAGAAGCGACTAACACCTGCATGTCAGTTCGACCTAAGACTGCAATCCAGATCTATTACACAATCCACTTCGAGAGGAACAATCCATCCCAGTTGAGTTCATGCAAATACACAACCTCCTCCTTGTGTCATTAACCTTACTGTCAATGATGTGTAATATAATTTATTCCTGTGATGCAAAGCTGAATTTTCAGCTCAGTCTTCAGTGTCACTTGATCCTTCAGAAATCATTCTAATACGCTGATTTGGTGCTCATTTACTTGAGACAGAAATGTTTTGAAACATTATGTCTTACCTTTCTTTTTTGAATATCAATTTCATGAATCCTTCTGACCTCAAAAACTTTTAAACAGTCTTGTGTCTATGAATAACTGCTTGTGTCTATTCTTCAACGATGCATCGTACTATGGTAGTTAGCACTGCAACGAGTTATATTGTTGTATGGGAAACGTACCCAAGAGCGTTACTGATAGACTGGGAAAAGAGGTGCCGCAACAATGTGAAAATATGTGAAAAATAATGTGTTTTTTGAACATTCAAGCATGAAAACTAGGTCTGTGAAACGATTAATCGCGATTAATCGCATCCAAAGTAAAAGTTTGTGTTTACATAATATATGTGGGGGCACTGTGTATAATTATTTTATAAATATTGTTGGTTTAACTTAAAAAATGAAGTAACCAAGTTGCCTTAAAATTTTAAGTTCATTGAAATGGAAAAATTGAATTAGTACAATGAAGGAGATTGATTTAATCATCAGAAACTAAAAAAAATATGATGTTATATGAACTACATAAATGATTTAAGTTGATTTGACAAAAGAAAAAATGTTGTGATAACAAATCATAAAAATATATATTTTTACAGTGTATAAATACACACACATGATTGTATATATTTAAGAAATATTTTCATGTATATACTGTATATAGATTTATATATAATTTATATTATAAATAAATATAAATATTTTATATATAAATCATATGTTTTTCTTAAATATACATGCATGCGTCTGTTTACAAAATTATTATACACAGTGCACCCACATATATTATGTAAACACAAACATTTATTTCGGATGCGATTAATCGCGATTAATCGTTTGACAGCCATAATGAAAACCTATTCTAGTCAGACCCAAAAACAAAAACAAGACTCTGTAAAGGGCATAATATTGGCTCTTTAATGAATCTGAGCTAAAAAGAATTAGCCTAGTATTATGTTTCTTAAAACTCACGTTTGCCATTCAGTTACAAATCAGTTTAATGGTTTTGAGAGAACGACCCCATAATGTTGAGACTCTCTTCAATCAGTTTCCTAAATTGATTGTGTTTATTACCAGACACATCAGTCTGAATATTCAGGGGAATCGTTCTGACCTCAAAAACTTTTAAACAGTCTTGTGTCTATGAATAACTGCTTTTATAATAAAGTTTTAAGCAGAGTCAATATAAAATGATTGATACACGATTCAATATTTAACTGTCTGAGAAATGGCTAAACAAATATAATTTGTATTAAGCAAAGCATGTAATGCAAGTTATTATCAATCTCAACATCTGGTTTACATTAATATCTAGAAAGTTATACGGTATTACATTCCACCTTTAACCGGTAAACAAGCCCAGGGCAGAGTCAAACTCCCTTGAAACATAACACTTAATGTTTAACATACAGCATATGACATGATCCTATTATTTAGTTAAGAACAATAGTCTCATTGTAAGAAGCACAAACAAATTATGTGGCACTGACAGTGGAAAAGACACGGATTATGAAGGGCTCTCAGAAGAGGCAAATGCCCTTTAAAGGTATTAAAGATATGTGACCATGTGCCAGATATTAAGAGGATAGAGAACAAAAAACACTTAAGTTTCTATTACCATAACACTTTAAAACCTATCCTCACTTTCGCTCTCTCCCTTTATCTATCTCTTCTTCTCTTTGTGGTTGCTATGAGTCCAGGTTCTGTGCTTGTAAACAGTGGCGGCTGTATCCACCCGCAGGCACTGAGGGGCACACGACCCCTGGATATTCAGACTGATGTGTCTGGTAATAAACATAATCAGTTTAGGAAACTGATTTAAGAGAGTCTCAACATTATGGGGTCATTCTCTCAAAACCTCTAGAGCCATCAACCATGAAAGTACATTTTAGCTTTTCGATTTGTAACTGAATGGCAAACGTGAGTTTTTACCTCAGATTCATTAAAGAGCCAATATTATGCCCTTTACAGAGTCTTGTTTTTGTTTTCGGGTCTACTAAAATAGGTTTTCATGCTTGAAACATTATTTTTCACATATTTTCACATTGTTGCAGCACCTCTTTTCCCAGTCTATCAATAACGCTCTTGGGTGCGTTTCCCATGCAACAACGTAACTCGCTGCTAACTACCATAGTACGATGCATCGTTGAAGAATTGAACTCGCTAGTCACGACTATTTCACAAAAAAGCATTGTCACAATTTTTTTTGGTCATTCGACCACTTTGGTTAATGATGTCACGCAGGTGAGGGAATACAGTAATAACTTCTTATTACTGATACGCTTTGAGGTCTTACTTACTTTCATATTTAATCATACAGTACTAGAGCACGCACATGCACACTCTTCAAAAGCTACGGTTTAAATCTCTTGAGATATTAAAAGATGTAAATGAAATAGATTGTACTGAATGTCAACTTGTTTGTTTTGCTCAAGAAGATAAGGATTTATTAGGTCCACATGTCATGCAAACAAGAAGCTATGCTTTAACCACAGGTCGAAAGCTTCCGCTCCAACCACGCAACTTTGCGACGCTGTTTGCGAATGTTCGTTGGAAATATGAGGAACTGGGGACTCATTAAACTATGATGATAATGATTAACTATCCTGATAACTGATAAAATGCTGTATAATTTTTCGTACAGCTCTCACCTGATCGACCCCAAATTTAGGTAAAATACTTTTCAGACCATACTCAATCAGCGAATTGACAGAGATGATTTGAAGTGGAACTTGGATGGAACTTGATGGAAAGATGGAAAGTTGCGTGGAACTTTTTTTTGAAAAGTTCCAAAGAATTAATGGGGGTCAAAATTCCATTTCCGTTCATTTTAATTGAGGGCTTAAAACTAGAGAACAGGATTAAGGCCGTATCCAACATGACACAGTGTGCACTCTTTGTTCTAACTGGAGGTTATTTCTTTCAGTTTGCTAATTGGATACAGTGACAGTGATTACATAACTGGCTTAGTGTACTGTGTGAAGTTTCCCGCTAAAAGCTGTAATTGGATATGATGCTATTAAAGGCATTTTAGAAGAATTTGTAGGACAATATGCACAGCTTTGCATTGTGCACAGCTTTGTACAGTGAAGCTATAATACTAATTAGTAGGGAGGCATACAGTATGCAAAACCAAAGAGAAATATTTCAAAAAGCAACAAAAAA